TTCAGAAATCATCTCATCAAGAGAGCTATTGCTGCGACTTCTATTTTTATTTGAAATTTTTGGGTTTGCTTTGAATAACTGTTTCTTTCCTTTTTTTTTTTTTTTTTACTATATGGGTTGCATTTTCTTTTTTCTTGTTGGATGTAGACAGTTGGGTTTTATTTAGTAGAGTCTGTGTGCCTATTGATGTTTGGGTGGCAACTGTACAAGATGATTTAACAGCACTGGCGTATGATGTATTTGGTCGAAGCTGTGTGCTTTGAACTAGTTTTCTGGCTTCAGCATACGAGCATACGTTCCTGGTAACTTTTGCAGTCTGCACTTCTTTTTTGGATTTCCATTCTAGGCACAGGCGTGAAAATGCTGGGTGCTGAGCCTTGCAATTTATACACAAAGGCGCAGCGGTACAATTTTCAGAATCGTGACCAATCTGTGAGCATTGGGCGCATGAAAGGTTGCCACGACAAGACATCTTAGAATGGCCGAAACACTGGCACTGGAAACATCGCATAGGATTATGAATATAAAGTCTTACAGGAAGATTTAGATATCCGGCCTTAATATTCTTAGGTAGATCAGGCATATTGAAGGTCAAGATCACATGTTTCGTGTCAATTAACTGGCCTTCCTTTCGCATCTTGATCCGCCTAGCACCACAGACATTTTGGTCAGCTAGCTCGGAGACGAACTCTTCTTCTGAAACACACAGAAAGTCAATCTCCGAGATTACACCTCTACAAGAATTAAGTGTTTTGCGCGCTGACACAGTTATAGATATTTCTCCAAATTTGGTTTGTCGAGAAAGAGAAGCAGACTGGGTGGCCGATATGGTATCAATAAGCAGGTCTCCTGATCGGAGACACTTTATGTTCCTTGGCTCACCTATACATGAATGTATATATTTGCTTACGAGGAAAGGAGACATCTTTTGCAGTTCACCAGGACTGGAGACAACAAGAAAGCGAGGATTTTCAGTAGTTTCGTTGGCATTTGCATTGGTACGGATCTTCTTGCTAACGGTTTTGTCAACAATTTCAATATCTTTGGCATTTGTTTCAGGACGGATCTTCTTGTAAATAGATTTGTCGACAATCTCGATATCTTGGTTGGTTTCATTCGACTCAGGTTTTTTAAGAATAAATAGAGAAGCCATGATTGAAAGAGAAAACATTCGGGTCCGACGGCCCCGCCCACCACGAAGCCCAAAAAGGGAACACAGATTCCTGTGTTGAGGCTAGCCGGACCTATACGCAAACTGAAGCCCCACAGTCGGCTTTCCCGAAAGCAGGTACTCCGAGAGCTTGACCCAAGCCACTGACACAAGGACTAATGACCAGCCAATTGACACCCGTGAGGACAACTAAGATTCCTCCCGTTTAGCTGAAGCAGAGGCCAAAGCAGTGTGTTGGGGACAGTACCTTGCCCCTCAACTACCAGGACCCTCCTTTCCAGTGACACGGGTCTCCACACACGGCAAACACGTGGGCAGTTTTCTCGCCACTTGAAAACTAGAGACAAGGGCTGTTCCAGTTTCGGTTGATCTTTACATTATGGTAACTTGGCGATTTTTTGGCGAAAATTTGGCAACCAACTCTCCTACAGCAACCCTCTATTTTTTTTTCCCGCCGCCATTTTGTCTTCACGAAGTAAAGACATGTTTCTTTTCTTTTTATCTACTGAACACTTCTTCCAACAATCTACTAGCCGAATTACACTTATGCTAGAAATTTTATCAAACAAAACTGCTTAATCATGACAAATATTCACTGCAAAATTGGGAAAAAGTGCACAATACCATACTCCTTACGCGTTTTTCAAAATAACACATACACATAAACCATGTACACGGCGACTTATTTTTACTTAAAAAAACATCCCAGAATTGCACAAAAATGGCATTGCGCACACTCTTCACTATATCCATGTACACTGCTTTTTTCTCATATATTAGAAAAATTTCACGAAAATACATGACAATTTTCTCAATCTTTAAACCCGGTAAAAAGAACATATATGAAATTAACTGATCGCGAAAAAGTATTTACCCTTTACAAATATGAACATTTCCACATATAAAATAAATAAAATATCCAAAAACTTTTACCTCTAAATCATCTATTATATTATAAACGTCACCAACGAATTCATACCGCAACCATTACAAATACTTAGTGTCAGATATTTAAATTATTTCTATGCACGTTTACTTCAACTAAAACGTATACCAAATTCCTACAAACATAAAATTCACAAAATAACTATCATTTCATTAAAATATAATTAAATTCAAAAACACTACTTAAAATATAAATGAGCACATACATTAAATTAATAAAAATTACCTTACAATCCTAATTACTTTAAACTAAATCATTGCTAATAACAATTTTCCCAATAATACCAAATTCCTTTCCACCTTACATTTAGAACAATGCATAAAAATAATATCCTCAAATAATTAAAAATACTAACTTACCTAATCTTCTTCAGAATCTTGATACGTGGCGGATACACTTTTCTAATTCATTCAATAAAATTATTGAGAGATTTTTTCTGCGAATTTTTCCTCCATACTTCCTCCGCTAAATAAAAAGCAAACTTCTCTTTATCACAATGCCTAATACCCATTTCGAATTCACTTTAGTTAGGGCCATGGGATCCAAAAATTAACAAACACTGTTTCACACAACACAGAATAAAGCTAAATACAAAATTTCCAGATTTTTTTCCCGATTTCCCCCCTTTTCCGATTAAAGAACTGTAATTCGTCCATTAATATCACATGACATATCCCATGATCTCTCATTTCCCTCACGCAAAATAATGCGTAATCGGAACTGAGTACTGCTCACATTATTACCAAAGTCCTAGGTAGTAACCTTTATCGCCTCCAAAATGTCGCCAAACTACCAGTTACCATATTGTAAAGATCAACCCCAGTTTCTTGTGACGAGCCCCAAACTCCGAAGAGAGAAATCACAAGGGAGAAGGGAAGGGGAAATGTTCAGGCCAAGAGGAGAGGAGATGGAAAAGAGGATAGATCACTGGGGCTCCAGGATCGTGACACCCGTCTCACCAAGAAGACGATCCCCTGAAGGGCTAGGGTACCTCGGGATTGCCACACCCGTACTCACAAAAGTGAGCCCGAGGGGTTTTTATATTAGAAATTTAATAATAAAGGAGTATGTTAACCTTTTATATTGACATTACGCTTGGCAATAATTATGGATTTAAGTTAATGCGCTACAAAATTTGACGAGGGAAAATTTAACAAAAATTTCTTTCCATATTTGTTGATTTTGTTGATGATACTCATAGACCCAAAGATTAAATTTAGGGCTATTTGAATTAAGAATAACTGATTTGTTATTCACATAAACCCAGAACCAGTGCCAGATCTTGTATGGCCGCACCAGGTCGCAGAATATAGGACCTACAGAGAGACTGCATCAGGCAGTAAGATATCTAGCGCCTAATAAATAACTAATACAATTCAAGCTTATTTGTCTCAGTGCATGATAGAATTAACAGAACAACTTGTCATTAGTCACCAAACTCATGATACATAGCCAAATGTATATAGTGAACGATAGCTAAATTTGATGATGATAGCCACAAATTTTAAAGGTTTTTGGAATTGTAAAACAAAGGCAAAATTTTCCAGTTAACGGATTTTGTAAAGAAATGTAAAGAAACAGTAATAAATGAAGATGATATAAAAGACGTTTTTCATTGCAATGACAATGCTTCTCAATCATCAATCCATTAATGAATGGTCTGTAGTATGGTTCTAAATCCAGAAAATACTGCTACCGATAGTGAAGAAAGTGAGAGAGAAGTTGCTGAAAATGAAAAATTTTCGATTGACAAGTTAGTCGGTATTTTTGACACGCAATTACAGGACTTGAACAGTGGAACTTTTAACAACAGATTATGTCTGTCTACAGAATTAAAGAGGAAGTATTAGCACAAAAAACGAACTTAAATAACTTACAGTGAAAGAAATGTTTAATAAGGTAAACAAATAAAATATTAAGATTTCTTTTTGTAAATTTTGATACCCTTTAGATCATAAATACTTCCATTATTTCATAAATCATGAATTCATATTTTTAATTTTATAATTTATACATGCCATCTTACTAGATTTAAACTGATGGTCTAATATCAGGAAAAATTCCAAATCTTGAATCGGTGAAGTCCCGACGAGTCCAGATTTTGGACTTTGTATGGTATTATTTGAAAGCAGATATATTTTTAAAAAGCAAGTATTTCTTAATGACAACTATGGTGGGCAGAGGAAAACCCCCCCAGCTTACTGCAACGAAAGTGCCATTAGCAGCAAGAAAATATTACACTTTCAAAATGATTACATTATTTTTTTGGAATAATAAATGTTTCTACACATTTTTATTAAAATGAATATATAAGAATACATATACAACACTGCCAGAATGACGGCCCCATCTAAAGAATGATACTTACATATTAATAAAATCAGCTTTGCACAATTTTATGATTTTTAAAAGACGACAAGTTATTTATTGGGAGCAAGTTCATGTTTTCACAAGATTTTGCTCAACTGAACGACTGCTATTAGTATGTTTGCCTGAAGAATGGTTATGTTTCTTCAGGTTTCTCATGGTTCCCAGAGTTTGGCACATTCTGAAAATTTTGCAACTTCTACGATGATGGTTGCAATAACATTTAAGTACACAAAGAATTATGCATCTATATTAACCAAAATAATTTGTCCCCTTATAAGATTTGAGCAAACTGTGATATATATATTACATCCCAATACTTTTTCAAATTGAGATTAATATCATGCTTGTTGCTTTGATCTAAATTCATTCCAACTAACTGTGGAGAAGTGCAAGTTTTTAGATACTATTTCTTTATAAAAAATAAATTTTATGGAATTGGGAGGGAAAAAAAAACAATTTACATTTAGAGATATGAACAGTATTAATAAAAGGTCTACATGGAAAATTACATACCTCTGAATTCCATGGGATATATTGGCACTATTATCCTCTGACTGATAGAGTTTACCATGGCTTAAATCAGGATGAGACCTAGATACAGAAAGCCTGTCAGCTGATTTAGATTTGGCATTCATCATGCTAATACCTCTCCTGCGAGCAGCACTGCCAAGTATCACCTGGTGATGATCCTTCACAAAATCAGGTACTTGCTTTGGGTAATCAGGTAAAGGTGGAAAATTACCAATTTCAGCCATAAAATTCTGATGGTTTAACTCTTTTGCTAAATATTTTAAAACTTCAGACTGGTCGAGATAATCTTTAGGAATTTCTCCAATACCTTGCACAGACTGATTTTCTGAATAGTTCATAGGTGACATAAGATACGATCCAGGTGTTGAGAAAACAGGTGTTTGATTAATATGAGAATAGTCATTAGATGGAATATATTGCTGTTCCCAAGAACCATGAAGAGGAGTCTTTTGCAAACCTGAATGAGAACCTGGCTTTTGAAACCTGGCTTTACGAATTGATGTTTTTGGCGATAATGGAACTGTGGGACTACTTTTATGAGGACTCTGATGCATGTTTGCATTCTCAGAAAAGTCTGAATATAATCGATTATATTTTTCTTTTTTTTCCCTCTCTAAAGCTTGTATTAGAGAAGTTTCTGTTTGTTTCCCAGGGCTTGTGAATGCTTGGCCATAAAATGGAGAATCATGTTCTCCAGCCACTTTAGTGTCATGTATGATGAGAGTGTTTGATGAAATGGCATCAGTATCATCTGCTATGGTCTCCTCTCCTTGTGGTTCTTGGCGCACACCATTTTGCAAAACTCTTTTTTCTTCAGCTGTCAGATTTTCTGTTGATGTAGAAACATCGGTGTCACTGCCAGATAAATTCTGGTGGTAACCTAAAAAAAATTTAAAAACTTTTAAACCTCTGACAAAGTTTTATTCAGAATAAATGAAAGAAATTCAAACATCTATTGAGTATCTTCACAGACATCTTGACATCAAAATCTTTCATCCATGCAGAATTTGTTCAACATACAAAAATATCTCTCACAGATATCACCTCTGAAAATGACATATAATTTGAGAAATGAACCAAGTAATAGTATTGGTGGTAACAAATTTACTTTCAGTCTAACCACTTCTGAAGACCAAAACTATATAAAATTGCAGTGGTTCTTTTGGGAAGATTTCATTATACTATAAAATTACTGTTTAAAAATTAAAATAATATACTGAACAAAATACTGTTAGTGTGCAATGAAAAATATTTGCTCAAGAATACCTTCGATATATAAAGCGAGCAGGAATTGTCCAAGTTTTAAATTTCACAGGGAAAACTGCAAAAACACAGACCAATGAAAAATTATATAAGTATTTCACTTTTCTTTCTTAACACTCCACCAAGTGATCAAAGGTTTAGCCTTAAAGTCCTGAAAATCTCAAATAGGCTATGAAAAATGGTATTTTTTCAAATGCAATTCCAAAATGATACCCTAATCTGAATTTTGTTTCCCATATATATTATTTTACATCTCTGGATACATTTAAAATGCATATTTGTGCACTTAAAGTTACTGCAACTAACATTCTTGAACATATATGTAGGTCTGGTTGCCTAGATAGTTAAAGCAATACTTACCACTGCCATTTGATTAAGTCAATCTTTACCACAGGATAAAATTAAAATCTGGTTTGAAAAACATGAGCATGTACTTTTTTTAACATAAAAAGGTATAAATAGAATGCATGAAAACTGATCAGAACATCGCCGATTCCGAATTTGTCATTTTTCCGGATTTTATATCAATTTAAATCTAGTAACATGACACATAGAAATTATAAAATTATAAATATGAGAAAGTAGTTTATAAAATAAGAAATCATTTATGACCTTAAGAGAATTAAAATTTATAAAAAAAGCCCAATATTTATTTGTTTGCTTTCTTCATTATTTCTTTCAGTGTAGTTTAAGCTTTTTATTTTTTATATTAATGCTTTCCCTATAATTCTATAAATGTCGGACAATTTTTGGTTCAGTTACGAAGTTCCATTATTCAAGTCCTATAATTGCCATATTGAGATTTCTAACTGTCAATCGAAATGTTTCCATTCTCGATAACATTGCTATCACTTTCTTCACTATCAGTAGAGGTATTTTCTGGATTTAAAATCATGCAACAGATTTTGTCGTCCATTACTTACTCCATGATTGGTGTAATCACATTGCAATGAAAAACTTCTTTTGTATTATCTTCACAAATTCTATAAAATTTTGTCTTTTGTTTACGATATCCAAAAACCTTAAAATTCGTGGTTATGCCCCTCATCATTTTTGCTAGGAAATATAGCAGTTGGGCATAAATTACGGTAAGCATTTTTAAAAATAACTGCAAATGCAACTTTCCATGATCCTACAATGCTCCACAGAGCAGATTTATGCTAAAATATTTAAAATTCTTGAATGGTCTTGCCACTATTCAGAAAATTTAGCAGAGATTTTAAAATGACTAGAACAGTATGCCGATATCCATAGGCTGGATCATACAGTTTGGAGAAAAGAAAAATACAGATAACTTCTATTTTAATAAAACTTTTAAGTCGAGCATGAGCTGAAGAATTGTCTATGACCAGAATAATTTTGCATCTTCAGGTAAACCAATCGATTTCAAATGTTGATCAGCCTCGGGTAAGAAATGATTTTCAAACTAATCAATCATTAATGATTGTGTCATCCATGTTCTTTTATTTGCATGACATAAGGAAAAAATCTTTACACCTGTAAATGTCTCTACATTTTGTATTTCTTCCAATTATAAACAGTCTGTACTTGTACCAGGTGATAAAATTGTGTCTTGCTTTGGAATCTTTTGCAGCTGTTAGAGCCTTTTCTGCTGAGGTTGCTAAGGTGTTTCGGGATACATGTCAAAAAAGATCATGAATGCACAAAGATCAGTTTCATCAGCAACATAAATATGTTCTGGAGATAACTTTTCATTATTAATGAATTAAATTAATTCATCTGAAAATAAACCAGCTGCTGCAGTATGAGCTGAAGCTTTATCACCTGAAATTTTTAATTGCCAAAGTGACTTTTAAATTTGGTTAACCAAGCTGTCAAGTACATGCACTGTTTTTAAGTTCATTTCCTAAAGAAAAGTTTTGGCTTGAGTGATTACCACCAGGCTCATCAATGGCATACTCTCCCATGACACTGTTTCATCCATTCTATCACAATTTTTATCATAATAAATGATTTTTCTGTTATTCATTGCGGGTGGGTTGAAAAATCCAGAAAAAATTCAAGAAGTTCCATTTTCTGTCCCCTCCCCCAATGTCATACAAGTTGACTTCCCAATGTCATAATCTTCCTATAATTTTGAGATGCATATACACTTATTCATTTTTTGCAACAATTCCACTTTTTTGCTTAATAGACATTGAAACATGCTTTTGCTTTATAGATCCTGTTGCAACTCCAAACTTAGAAATTCTTTTTTGATGAAATGAAAATACAATAAAAGTCCAGAAATCCGCAAAGCTAGGGACCAGGGGTTGCGCGGATTTCAGGACAGAAAGGATAAATAATAATATTCAGACTTAAAGTGCATATAAATAAGGTGTATTAGATACATTTAATTAAATTATTATATACATTATTGCAATAACTTATTATGTGCATTAATTTATTATTACATATATACATTGATTATGTTATTCATTGTATTATATATACACAGCATCGAGGTTTGCAGATTTTGCCTCATGCAAAGATTTCCGGTTTCGGATTCTGGTGTTAGAATCACTGCTGCTGCAAAATTTCAATACTTTTCTTTATTTTTTCGTATATCATACACAATTGTGTCACAATTCCATACGATTCTGCTCAAAACCGAGGAGTAGCACCTGCCTCCATCTTTTGCAGAATTTACACTTTTTGCATTACCATCAATGCAACGTGTTTACATTTTTCAACGTTGTAAGTAGTAAAATCACGAGCGAGTTTCTTATCTGTTGTTGTATCAAAAAGGGCTGAAATTTAAAATATTCTTAATTCTTCTTAATATCCACAAATCAGAATCACAACTGAGTAGATCCCCTCTCCCCTCCCATTTTTTCCCTCCTCTATCAAGACTCTCTCTTCAGTTTCTTTTTGTTTTATTTTAAAAGGAAGCCTTTTATCCCTCCCCTCCTTTTTTTTTTTTTTTTTTTTTTTTTTTTTTTTTTTTTTTTTTGACTTGGATAAGAATCCTTTTTCTTTAACTTCTTTTTGGTTTGTATATAAAAAGTTAAGAGTATTTCTGAGAAGACAAGAGAAAAATTCTCAATAAAGAAATAATGCTTCATCAAATGCTTGTTATAAATGACACTGTCAATGCTAAGATTTTCTACTCTCAAATTTTTGATAAATTATCATAAAAACATAAGCAATATGCGTGGAGACAACGACAGTCTGCACGATTCAAAGATCAGATAAGTCTCTATGATGGCAAACTGGAATTATTCAGCTCCAGAAGAAAAAATTCACTTTGCTACAAAACAGATACATGAATTTGCGTAATAAACTATTTAGTTTAAATAATCGTTACTCAATAAACAAGCAGCTTTTTAAACAGATACAATATTACCGAGAAAAATTACACACTGAAGGCTGAATATTTAAAATTTCCTTACCAGACTGAATATAGGAACGTTGTGGACTTCGGGAGCAGGGACTGTGCACAGACTGCATATTTGTTTCCTAGAGCAGAAGGGAAATATATTCAGTAACACATATGATAGTTAATTAGTATACATCATTACAAGCAGCATAAAAATACTATCTAATACAAAAAAAATTAGCACCTAAGTAACGATCTACTTTTTTTTACATAAATCTCTACATTGCACACTTTTAAAATGAGAATTAAACTTATAACTTTACAAAGGACTTACAGCACACAAGTGCAAACTGTTAGAAGGAAATTACCGAAATCAATTCAGGCTGCATTCCGAAAATACAATACGCACCACTGAACAAAGGTATGCGACATTAACGGAATGTCCTTCTACCAATAAAGAAATGGAAAAAATGTATATAAATATTAGTATTAAACTTCACTGTACCATACTTATAATTACCTTTAATAAACCAAATTCACTTTAACAATACTACATTCGAAGTGTTCGTCGGGGTGAAGCTATTAAGATTATAAATTAGATAGCCTAAATAATTATAAAGCTAATAGCTTCGCCAAGTCGTGCAGCGCAACAAATCGCTCAAATATTTCTGGAATTCAGTAAACTTATGACGTCACAAATATTTCCCGGCGGGCTTGCTATTTTCTACTAATAGTTTTTAAAAGAGAACTGACAACTTGTGCGAAGTTTCAGTTTTAAATAAAGAAGTTTCTAAATTATAGAGCATAACTATTCAGAGTATATATCTATTATTTAAGAAAATACACTTTAATTATATTAAAAAAGAACACATTTAGAATATAAGCGACATTCCATAGTTATCATATCATTCGGTGTAAAGCATATCGATTTTAAGAATCGATGTATTAAAAAATTAAAAATATTAATTTTTGTATCTTATTTTAAATAGAATGTGTGATATATTATAATCAATTTGTCTCTTAAATGAACTATAATAACAAATTATTTTGTCTGCCAACATGATAATACAAAAAGTTTGTAATCAGAGTCTTGGCAATGGGTAAAGAAGTGCTGAATTTTGATACTATATAAAACAATAACTCTTGTGTCAAATTATGGGTTATTCGGTATCATCGTATCTTAATCCTGTGAATTTGTGGAATTCTCTCTCTCAGGTAGTTGTACCAAAGAAAGAAACAAGCTCCAAAATTTCTCAAGCAGTTTGTTCTGCTTGTGCTAATAAAGCAATGATGCAGAATATTGGTTCCTTGTTTATAAAAATAGCAGGTCTCTCAGGTGCTACAGCAGTAGCTATGGGCGCCTATGGATCTCATGGTATTATAATTTATGTCTGTATTGTTATAAACATGTAGTATTCCAGTTTTGCTATTAGAGTATATGATGTGGGTGGAATTAGGTATATTAATAAAATTTTAGAGAAATAAGTCAGGTAATATGTATAGAGTTTTTTTTTTTTTTTTTTTTTTTTGGAAAATATTTGAAATGGACTGCAAGCATATTCAGTTTAAATGAATAAGCGGCTAAAGTGCAGAATCGCCCACTTATTTGTTTGGTGGTTTTTACATCGCCCTATTTTCACTTAAAAAATATCCCAGAATTGCACAAAAATGGCATTGTGCACTCCCTTGACTTTATCCATGTTCACCTCGGTATCCATGTGCACATTGACCTATTTTCACTTTAAAAAAATCCCAGAATTTCACAAAAATTGCATTATGCACTCCCTTTATCCATGTACACATCGACCTATTTTCACTTAAAAAGTCAAAGAAAATTGACAAGAATTCAATTTTTACTCTTGTAAAAAGCGCCAAACAAATAAGTGGGCGGTTCTGCACTTTAGCGATGAAATTTACAAAAGCTTAAATGCATTTCAAACTAGTGTGTGTTACTTTAGTATTTAATTTCTTAGATTCTATTATTAAAAGAAAATTTTAAAAATATATTTTAAAGTGAAGAAAATCAAATTAAATTTGCCTAAACCTCGACTCATCTGTAAAGAGAACCTTCCTCCATTGATCAGGCATCCAGTGGACATGTCGTGCCCACTGAAAACGGTCCCTCCTATGGCATGACGTAAGCGGCACACAAATGGCTGGTCACCTCGCATACAGACCACCTTAGTGAAGCCTTCTACGCACGGTTGACGTTGACACTAACCTTCCAGTGGCTGCAGCAAGGGAGGGTCTAAGAAGAGTCGGAGTAGCGGTTCTATTCTTGCGTGCACATAATGTCAAATATCGGTCATCGGCGCTCGTCGTAGTAGTTGGCCATCCTTGGCTGAAGCTCCTAGCTGCTGAATCTGTGGTTTGAAATTGCCTCCAAAGTCTATGAACCACAGAAGGACTCGCATTTAGCCATCTGGCCACTTCTGTTTGACTTTGTCCTGCCTCTAGGTCTCTCAATGGCTTTCATTGCAGTTCTGCACGCAAATGATGCCTGGAGGTCACTTGTTACGAATTGGCTACCTCGGATTTCTGATTTTACTTTCACAGTGAATTATGTGGGCTTTCTCTCAAACATGGACTTTTATGCTCCTCGCAGATGACGTATTCCGAAAGCAGCGCGACTAATTTGCATATTGCAGTTTTACTCAGGTACTCTTACTTGGCAACATATTCAAATTTTACACGATTTGGCTTATTTTTGAGAGAGTTATTGCTATTTTTGTGATTTTACCTTAATTTATGATAACCAGTGTATTTCAGTTAATGTTGCAGATTGCATTGTTCCTTAATCTTCTAATTGGATCCGGGTTATTATTTTTGGCAGACTGTTAGAGCAATTTTATAAAAGTAAACTTAAACTTTCGATTATGTCAAAAAGAATTTCCAATTCTGGATCTACAAAGCGAAAGCATGTTTCGATGTCTATCAAACAAAAAGTAGAATTCCTGCAAAAAATTGACAAAGACATATCCTTTGTTTCTCTAACCATTCTGAAATCTGTTTATCAATTTCAAGCTGCTCTGCGGGAGGAGGGGGGGACATCGCGGCACGCAATGAACTGGTAGTTGATCTGTCAGCACTATCCTTATCTTCAGGGCAGATGGTGTTTACTTTTTTCGGCTTATAATTCTTTACTAAATGTAGTATTTCATCTCGATGTACTTCGTCTTTGATATGATTTAAATCAAACTCCTCATCATTATAAATATAATATTACGAATACACATCAAATAGTTTTCTGGTTGCAATTTTCTAATTTCGACTGTGCATAATGTATGCTTTACGCATGCGCGCGTTGAAAGAAATGTTTAATAAAGTAAACAAATAAATATTATGCTTTTTTTTTTTTTTTTTGATACCCTTTAGATCATAATTGGTCTTTATTTCGTAAATTACGGTTTTATATTTTTAATTTTATAATTTCTGCATGCCATCTTACCAGATTTAAATTGAGGATCTATAATCCAGAAAAACCAATAATCCGGAATTGCCGAAGTCCCGACGAGTCCGGATTAACCCTCTGAGCATTATGGGTTTAGCCCTGAAATTTCAAAGTTCCTCAAAATGTCACAAATAAGTGATATTTTCTTGATTTCAATTAAAAAATGACTCTTTCATTTTGAACCTTGATTCCTTTTCTTCCAATATACATCCAAACTGAAATCGGATACATTAAAAGCTAGCAGAAATTTTCGTGTATAATGAATGTCGAAGGCAACCTTCTGTACGGAATTTTCCGGTCGTAACACTGAGAGGGTTAAAGACTTTTGACTGTATTATGGAGGTGACGAGCTGCCACTGGTGTTAGAAATAATTTTCATGACCCAAAATATCTCATCTTCTTCCATTGTGGCCCAGGGAAGCTGAAAGGTTGGATACCTCTGCTTCACTCCTTTAAAGGCCTAAGGTTGTGTATTTTTTCCTTTTACATTTGTGCATTCCTGCAACATTTACTAATGCCAAAATTGTTAGTTTAGCTTTGGAATCTTTGACAGCTCTTGAGGTCTATTCTATGGATGTCGATAAAGTATTTCAGAGCACATTTTGTAGGAAAAAAGTTTTATCAATGTTATGAATTTTTCTGAAGATAACATTTTGCTATTTATGAGATTTTATGAATTCATTTGTAAATGTTTTAGTTGCTTCTGCATCAGTTGAAGTTTTTATGTTGGAAATTTTTAACTGCCTTATACCATGACTATTTTTAAATTTGGTTAGCCAATCTATCAAATGTGTGCACTCAGATTTTTAAGTCCTTATAACAAATGATTTTTCTGTAGTTCATTACAAGTGGAAATCAGAATCCACAAAAAATTGAAAAAGTTCTCTTTTCTGCTTTTCCTCTGTTGTACTTCTCATATAATTTTTTGATATACATGCCTTTATCCATTTTTTGCAGCAATTCCGGTTTTTGCTTGATTGACATAAAATAAGCTTTTGGATTACCTATCTTGTTGCATTTCCAGAATTAGATAGCTTTTAAAGGTAATCAAAAATTCAAACTTTGATTTTGATAAAGTAGCTGTTATAAAAATGGGGGGCAAAAGATAATAAGCTGAGTCAAATTGGAAAGTTAAAGAAGTGTGCAGTTTGCAATGTTAACTGTTCTTCAGAATCTAATTCTTTCTTCCTTCCGTGCAATTATTCTGACAAAAGAAAACCATTATAAGCAACATCCCACTCCAAATAAATATGTCTTGGGGCTTTACTTATTATTTAGGTCAGATAAAAAAATGCTAACCCCCCACAATCACTCAAGGTCTGAGAGTATGGTCATGGATAACACCAATAAAATATCAGTCTTTTATTCTCATTGGACGTGGTTTGATTGCTAAGAAGCAGGTGCTGCTTGAAAGTGATATACAGGAATCTCAGTTAATCAAGAAGAAAATCAGTTTTATGGCATATAGGCTTAATCTTGAGTTATCTCCATTCCTAAATTTTATAAGGAAAAATAAATTCTTAATTAGAAATTTAAAAAAAAAAAAATTGCTGGTAGTCCAGAGGTCTGGATGTTAGATCATTCCAGGTATTGGGCATCCAGATTTCGGACTTTGTATTTTATCTGAACACGTTTCCACTGCTCAAATGATAACTAAGATCTCATGTATTTTGGATGAGGGCTATGGAAAGTTATGGCCTTTTTGAATTACTTTTAGCCAATTTTTCCAAAATTTCAATACAGTTGTCATCTTCATTAGATTCTTCCAAATATGATAATAAAATAAATTTTGGATCATATGCATCAGTGCAATGTTAACTTTTAACTGCTGCTACAAGTATTTTTCTTATTTAATTATCAAGATTATTACTTCAACTGTATCTTTGTGGTCAGTAATGTCTCATGATATCACATATTTGTTAGTAGCATATATGTTTTCTTATGAATGAGTCCAAGCAATCTATCAGATTGTTTCACCTTGTACTTGTGTATTTGTAGCTTGACAACATTTGCATATTCCTTTAAGACTGGTATTGAAATATGATTATTTCGGAAATATTTTTAAAAGGTACCCCTTGTTTTATAACAAATTAAGTTAATGAGCAGAATATTCTCAAGTTGTAATGGGGATGTATTTTTTATTTCAGGCACTTCAAATATAACACATATATTGCATATCAACAATTTTGCCAGATATTGCAGAGGGACTTATATTGATCTCCCTTGAAATTGGTAGAATTTTATTCAAAACCTCTGCTGATCTGAATTTTTTGTACAATTTAAATTTTACACTATGTTTCTCTCCCAATTAAATTTGTTTTATTTATATTCTGTCATGTTGTGTCTTTATCTTTTTAACTTGTCATTCAGTAGCCTAATAGACTTAAAATTTGAGGATATCATACATTAATGTTTAAGTTAACACAAATAAAGTCTACATTCATCTTCACAGTATGAGGTTATTTGAAAAATTTTATATTTTTGTGAATAGATTCCAATTCAGTTATCTTTAATACTTTTTATTGGTCAGAATAGAATAGCAACCATGTGAATTTATAATATTTTGGCAGCATAAAAATACCACAGAACTGTAATTTTAGAGTTGAAAATGTTCTTTAATTTCACTAAAGAGCTTGCTGATTAATAAACCATCTGTTGTGTGCATTAGCCTAGTAAACAGCAAAAATGGTACTAGCTTGATAGACTGTGAGGAAAATAATATCATGAGGTAAAATCCTTCAGCCAAGTTGTTTTATCTCAAGTTCTTTTCAGATCTCTAAACTAATATGATTATTGTCAAATGCTGTTTCAGTAATCTTATGATTGTGTCCTTTTTTAATAGATTAGAGGATGATTTGATAACTGGATGATTTGAACAGATTGTAGTGCACTTTATCCAGTTACGACTAAAAAATAAAAAACATTTTGGAGGTGTTCGTCAAAATTGGGGCAGAGCTGCATAGTTAGTATGGTTGAAGTATACCTGTATGACCATTCCTAGTGTCCTGCCTAATTCTACCTTTATCTGTGGTATTATGTTGGTAAACTGCCTGGCCATGGCCAAATAAGCATCTGAATAACAAGTCAACTTATTCACAGCCTGACTCAGTCAAGAGACCTTGTTTTGGGATCTTTTTGGAAAAAATGTTCTGGTCGGAACAAGTTGTATATTTTTTGTAGTAGATGGATAATCAAAAAGTAATAGCTTCCTTTCTTTTTGTAATGGTGAAGAACAGATGCCTAGTATTACAGTTTTTAGCCTCTCATATATTCTTGGGGATCCCATTTGTCTGATTTTTTTCACTTGGCACAAACTGCATAAGATAGTTATGCTTAATGACTGAGATTTAAGTGACCATTTTTCTTTACACACTGGGTGAGAGTTAGTTTCAATTAGTTCTGTTAAATATTCATCTATTGATAGATTTTTAGACCACAAGTGATCTTCCATTGTTTCATGATCACTGTTCTTTATAAAATTTTGCAAGCCAAAATTGTGCTTTATGGTTGATATTGTATTTTTACCTTATGCATGTTTTGATGGGTTGTATATATATTCTGACCCAGAAAGCATTTAAATTGCAGTCCAATTTTTACTTCTGAAAACTTTTTTCCATGATTAAAACAATATCTTACACAAGGTAAAATAAATAAAAATTTTTCAATAATTAAATTATCACCTCTCTCTATACATATATAATGTGTGTGTGAAATTATATAAAATTTATGCAATAAATGAAATGAAGTGGTAAAAAATGTGACAAAATGTTTTAAATACCTGACATTTTGTGCAAATTTAATTTTTTCCCTTTAACATTATGTAATTTTATGTTTCAGGTTTTTATCCTAAGCCAGATATTCCTGCTGAATTAAAAGATGTTTATAAAACAGCTAATTATTATCATTTTCTTCACACCTTAGCTTTACTTGCTGTGCCACTCACAAAGAGACCTCTTTTAGTAAGTTCTTGCTGTAGTGTGTATTTTTTAAATTATTAGCTATGAAACTTGGAAAAATTAATTCATAAGTTTAATTTTGACATTTGAATTAAATACCATTTAAATAAGTAAAACCCATTTTTAATTATTTTATGACAGACATCAATTTATAATCTTTTTTTCATCTCGGTAATTACTTATATGTGATGTGCATATATGTGATGTCTCGTGATTTTATTTCTGTTTAAGAATTAGGGATTTTATATATTTCTGTATTGAATTCTACATAAGTTATTACTTCAAAGTTCACTGAATTGGTAAGTTACTGATTCTGGTAAAAAGGAGGGGGGAGAAACTTTGTAAGAGACTGCGTATCATATACACCCTTTTGGAAAAAAAAATCGAAGCACCATGAAGGAAGTGGTTGTTTTGATGAAATTGACTATGTGTATAGCTCATACGCAGATAATAAAATGATTAAAAAATCATAGTACCTGTTTGCGGCTCACAATCACCCATTGAGTGTTCAAATTAGTAGTTCGCTGAACCGACCCTGGCGGCAATGCATGCTTGAATTTGTCAAGGCAAAGAGTGCTAGAGGTTCCTAATCTTATCCTGCGACACAGTCTGCCAGGCATTCATCAGTTGTTGCTCCAGATCTGCAATATTTTGTGGTGCCCGAATCTGGCGGCCTACCATGTCCCAGACATGCTAGATTGGTGAAAGGTCTGGTGACCTTGCTGGCCAAGGAAGAGCATCAACCGCACGGAGACAGTCCAGAGATATGCGAGCAGTATGTGGCCTGGCATTTTCTTGTTGGAAAATGGCCCCATTATGACGTGCCATGAAGGGCAATGCAACCGGCCGCAGGATTGTATTAACATATTGTTGAGCTGTTAAAGATGTATGGAGGATGACCAAAGATGACCTGCTGTCATAAGAAATAGTTCCCGACACCAGAGGTTAAGGCTGTATGCATTTGTAAAACAAAGGCTGATTGGTACTGCCAACTCCGTCCTTTCCAGACACAAACATGGTGGTCATCTGCTTCAAGAGTGAAGTGTGATTTATCTCTGAACACTATACGATGTCGGTCTGATGGCAGCCATGATGATCGGCTGCGACACCACTCCAGATGACTCCACCGATGTTGTGGGGTCAAAGGCAAACATCTTAAAGGCTCTGTGAGTGTAACCCCGCCTCAGACAAGCGCCGTGAGATGGTGGACGGTACTACGGGAGGTATAGACATGGCTGTAGTGTGTTGAATAGTCGACAATGATAACATTGGGGCAGTTCAGGCCTGGTGAAAATCATCCTATCTTGCCTCGCATTTATGCTCCTTGGCCTTCCAGAGCCTTCATTTTGTCGGCAATTTCCTTGTAGCAACCATTGCTGCCAACATCTTTGCACAGCAGTGTCTGTACACTGCAGGTGGCGGCCCCTAGTATAACCACCCAGCTTCGCGCAACCCTACAATGCAACTATGATCAAAGTCGTTTAGTTGTCTGTAAGGTCTTTGATATTGTCGTAATGGCATCTTTAGTTGTCTCTTTACAGAATTACAATGGCAGAAACAAAAAAAGATTAATTTGCTGCCTCTGTTACTGGTTTTATACTTTGCGAATTGTACACTAGAAATGCGCACAATTCCTGTTCATTTGCCTTGAAATTTTGATCATTTGCATGTTCGATTTGCAAGATGTTTTTGCATATCAAATTTCGTTACGATTGCAAAAGTCCTTCTTGGTGCTTCAGTTTTTTTTGCAAAAGAGTGTATTTAACAACATCATATTAAAAACTGCATTAGAAAAAAGAGTTTGTTGATCTACCTTGCAACAAAGAATCTCATTATGTAATACATCAGTTCCCAAACGTTTTGACTCATTGAGCCATTTTCTAGAATCAGTTTCTATGACAGAGTCCCTTAATCCTCTTCTTCTAAGTTTAATAGTGTCTAAGAGTAGCATTTGGGGGAAGAGATTGTAAAGGAATATAAAATAGATATCAAAGTGCCAGCACATTATCCATGCAATGAAATCATTTTAAAAACTAAAATTTATAATAATATATCAGTTTATTCTCAACTATGTTTAATGAGACTGTGGTTGCAATTTTTGGCACAATTTGCTTATCTGGCATTCATTTGATGATAATTTCAGGTAAATGTCTGGTTCTTCATTCAAGCGGATTTTGTATTTTTTTTCAGTACCTGTACAGGTGGAAAATCAGGCTTCACAGAGATATTGTGTAGAGAGACAGCAATACTAATTTTGTTTTCTCTAACGAGATTTTGAATTCATCTTGTAGATGTAGCCAAGCCTCTGGTAGACATTTTTAATGCCATTTTTATTTCTGTATGATGACATTTATGTCAAGTTTATAATGACCTCATATCTTTCTAAATTTAAGCTAAATGCCCCTTCTTCCCATTTCATGTTAAGCACATTCAGAATTTTAAAGTCATCAGACTCCTTTTCTTAAGCTGCTTGAAAATAAAAATAATATTTTAAAAAGTCTTTCAAAGCTTTGAGATGCTTTTGAATTTTTTTTAAAAACTTTTTCTAAAATTTTATTAAATGTTATTTATTGTTATTTTCCTTTAAGAAACTTTTAGTAAGAGGGAAACGATTGATATGTTTCTTTTCCATGCACTCCAAGCATAATATGGACATAAGTTTCCTCTTAAAACAAGATGCACATTTGCATCAAAAACTGTGGCATGTTTTCCTTAAAATGATAGATTCATTTCATTCATATTTTCTAAAAATGACAGTCAGATATGCCATTTTGTATACTCAAGCTTCATTATGCATAATCATTGCTAATAGAAGGTCCATAAAAAATGCTGCTGCCTCTGCATGAGTTCAATCATACATGCCATTGGTTTTCCTTGAAACAGCTGCCTTACTTCCTCATGTTGCAGTAGAGACTTATGGTAGCTTCTCAATCTTTGCATACTAATTTCAAAAGCCTGCTTTTTAGAAATCATGATTTTATATAATTTATTATTTTTATAGTGCTATTCAACATTATCATAAGCTCAGAAGGCATTTTGGGGGGGGGGACTAGTGCCTGTTTATGAAGGATGCAAAGGCTGCTGCATTTCTTTGCCTTATATTTAATTTTAACAGTGGCTCCACCATTAGAACTAATCATTACTATTGCATCATCAGTGCATGTATCTGTGAAGTTTGCTCTCAGTGTTTCATTTGATGATGAGAATTAATCCAAAAGATTAAATATTTCAGCTCGTAACATGTTTACTGTTAGTAGTGTGTAAAGAAGGAACTCCTCTTAATAGCTTTGTAAGTAAGCATAAGGAACTCTTAAAACTCCTTACTCAGCAACATCAGTCAATTCATCCATTTGAATGCGATTGACTAGTGTCTCATTCATATTGTTGATTCGTCGCGCAAGGGTGTTAATTGACAAATACTGTGAGTAAGTATATGGCACTAAATACTTAGCCATACTATGAGCATATTCTTTATATTTATCAATGTTAATTTTGTGACCACTTGATACAAATATTAAAATTATGTGCATTTTTTAAATCAAACTAATATCTCCCTTTAGGATAAGGGAGAGAAAAAATCTTTTATGTTTCCATCGTTTGAATTACTAAAACTGTACCTTAATCCAGACTTTTCTTTAAAAAACTTTTGACTGCTTTTTGTTTCATTCAGCTACCTCTTTATCACCTCTCGGGCTTGCTTCTTTTTTACCAGAAACTTGTTGGCAAAGTATTAGGAGGCATTCAAAAACAAGTATCCATCCATGTAATCCTGATATTCCACATTCTTATCTTTTGATCTTTATTTGTCTGCTTATAGTCCTGTGAATGGAATTATATCCATTCAGTTTTGCCATGCAACGATAGAGAAATGTCATTGATAGAGTAACATGTTATATTATCAATCACTGAAAAATAAGACTGAAACTGCTCTGCTGTTATGTAAAATTTTATTATGTAGAAGTTTGATTCTTCTACCTATATTTTTTACTTTTACAGAACTCTATTATTAAAACCCTATAGTCCCTTGTTCCAAATTATTTCAGAATTCATGCTGTCATGGTCGCAAATTAAACAAAGAAATGCAATAGATGTTATAAAAACAGCTGAATCACTGGTTTCAGTTTCATGGAATACTTGTTTATAAAAACTGTACCTTAACAGTGTAAACTGTAACTTTAAGAGTCAGCGAATCCCCACTTTGTGATTAAAAGCACTTTGTTTTTCCCTTTTCTTGGCTATGTCACGTTTCTAGCCGAATAATAAAATTTTCAGCTGGGTGATGATAAAATTTAAATAGTCTATTTCTGTGATAAATATTTATTGTCATCAGTCGGATGCAGAAACTAAATTAAATGTCTGATCAGACGTGGAAACTAAAAAGATTCCTTTTTTCTTTATTTTCACTATTTATGAAGAACATTTTAAAACTGCAAATTTTAACTACTATAATTCAAATGTTTTATTACTGTATATAAAATATTAAATGTATAATAAAACATACATCTCGTACTTGATCTGTTCAAGAGAAATAGTCAAAAGAAAAGAATTATGAATCAAACCAAACATCATTCTATGAAAGCTTTGAATTCGAATTAGCAACAGGCAACATTTGCACAGTTGACCTTTTCTACTATTAGGGTGTCAGAAAAGTGGATGTGTTATAAGATTGAAAACATTTGTATTATGAATAACACAATCATATAGCAAACGATGTGTTAGATTCCCGTTTCGATGAGAATTTCTGGTTTTTTATTTTGATTGTACTTTTGTATCTTATTCTCTAATTTCATCAGTTTTTATTTTCCTGGAGCAGCCACAGAGCCTCCATGAAGTGCAAACAGAGCCAAAGTAAAAAACTGCTAAATTTTGCAAAAACAATTTATATTTTATTTAAAAAATAAAATTTGTAGTGTTTTGTCAATGACCATTTGATAGTAATTCCTTTTTACTAAATACTTTGTACTTCTAAATACTAAAAAAAAATTTTATAACAAATGTTTTATTTATTTATTGCCATTAATTTTTCTCGTATAGGTTGGCTCTTTACTTTCTATTGGAATGCTTGGGTTTTGTGGAACATGTTATGCATATGCATTGACAGGGAACAAATCTATAGTGAGATTTACTCCATATGGTGGAACTATACTTATAATTGCTTGGCTTTCAATGATGATCTGATAGTTTTACTAAATTTTTATGTTTTCACAACTTTTAAATTTGAAAATAATTCATGTAATATTATATTGCAAATATGATAAATCAAATAAAAGATATTTTATTGTAGTTTCCTTATGTGAAATATTTCTGTATAAATGTTGCATTCTTTCTTCAATAACAGTATTTAACAAGAGTGCCCCCCCCCAAAAAAAATTGAATAGTGGAATTCCGTGAAATTCATTTTCTGGATACAAAGAAAGAAATACAAATTTAAATTTGTGAATTAATCTTTCTGATTTGAGCTTAAAGCCAAAAAAATGACATAAGCATACATCTTTGCAGTATAAAAACATGCAAGTCTATATAAAATATAACTAATTTTCTTTTAATAATGAGAAGTATTTACTTTTATGTATGAAAAACAAAGGATGATACTGAATATTTTTTTAATAAGAAGTGATATGCAGTGGCATAGCTATAGGTAGGATATATATATCCCATATATTCACTTCTTTAAATAAGGCTGAAAGGAATTTTGTTTGTTATGGAAATTTGAAATTTGCTACTTAATGCAAAGCAAGAAATGGCAGAACCTATTGGTTCATTTTTCTGCTCCTTTCTGATTGAATAACTGACTAAATGGCTTTGTTACTTAAAAAATTGGTCTCTATAGCCCATGGGAAAAGGTTAATTTTAAATTTTGTATGTAAAGTATGTTATTAATTATAAAAAGAGTTTTACAAAAAGTACAATAATAAAAAAATTAAATACAAATACAATTAATTGAAAAATTAAAAGTTTAATTGACTGCTAGAATAGCCTATCTTATTTGTTGTTAATTCCAGTGCTACTTAGTGAATTCTTTTGTTTACACATATTAGCCCATATGCAGTGTACTACATTTTCATCAAATGCACATGTGCAATCTAACCAAAAATAGCCCTGTTTTGTTTGTGATAATCATTTTTGTTTGTTTTTACTATATTTTTTATATTTGAGCATAAAATATTAAAGCACAAAATATAGCAAAAAATTGCTATCTGAAACCAAATAGACTAGTATGGTTAAATTGCACATGCACATTAATGAAAGCGACAACCAGAGCAGCTAAGTGCCCATGTCCTATAATAATTTGTATATTTAGTTCTGCAAAATTCTTATGAAATGTGTTACTAAGTGTTGGTTAAAAAATAAAATTTGGAGGTAAGAAATATTAAAATAATTATAACAATTTTTAAAATACTATATACAGATTATTCATAATTAAAGAAGCCTGTTTGAAAGCTGCTTACATGTGAAACGAGTAGTCAGAAAATCATTAAATGTTGGGGCAGATATAATGAAATGATGGAAATTTCTTTCAGTGGAGGGGGTAATAGTTACAAATAGTATCATCAGAGGGCATTTATATTTTTATTAACTTCATCTGGTGTATATATTTATGCAGTAAATATATAAACATAATGAAACTATCTTGAGTATATAAAATGTTAAGACTTTTTATGAACTGAAAGGGGAAAAATACATAAATTCTTAATAATGGTGAGAGTAAACAACTGGATAAATACCTTACGGAACGTTTCAAAACTATGGATGCACAGTGCTTGATCTACAAATATATATATACATCCATATTTATGAAAAATGCATCATCATTAAAGCATTAGCAGAATACGAGTTTACAAGAAATGTGATGCAGAGTCTGATGTGCAGATGGTTAATAACAGAAAATGAATAGGTATCATGCCTGGGCTTCGCAGCATATCTTTGAAAAGTTGGGTGAAGATGTAACATTGAATTGATAAATGTCCTGTAGGAGTGATTAGGCAATGAATTAGTAAATGTCCTGTAGGAGTGTAACTCATCAATGTCAAAAGCCATCACATTAAAAACTGCAGAGTTCTGGAAAGGATAACATAAATGACTGTTTGCATTTTTCTGAGGAAGTCTTTATACCGCAACATTATTGTTCATTCTGATTACAACACCTAACGATGATACAAGCATGAAAGAAATGGTCTGAAGAAAAACGAAATAATTGAAATTTTGGAAGTACACTTAACATTAGAACATTGCTACAGTATCAATATCTGCTTTATCATTCAATATCAACTTCAATGTCATATCAATGTCTGCTTTCATAATTCGATAGCATCTGCTACATAAAAGTATGCAAGCATCCTTTTGCGAATGATTACCATGAATGTGAAACCATCGATGAATTAGGCTACAATGGACGGTGACACATAACCACAGACAGTGGCTTATATGTATTTGTTATAGGTCATTGTTTTCTGATGAGTCTATTGTAACTTGGAATAAAATTATAGCCACATAGGCATTAAAAGATATTGCTGCATGCTGTCTTCCAGTGTAATCATATACGCCTGTAAAGCATATTCCAACACGACACCGCCCATTATATGTTGCCTAAAATTTCAAAGTCGTCTTTGCAGCACAGTGGCTATAGCTTCTTTCTAGGCTTAACTATTAGGATGAACATGTGTTGTTATGGTCACCTGGCGATCAGCACATCATTCTTCTTCAGCAGTTAATAACAGTGATTTTTGTATTCATATTGAATCAACCTGCCAATAGTACACCATGGACATATGACTTATCCAAAGTCTCTTATAGTTGTTGCCACAAAGTATAGAAGCTATTATATTTGTTAATGAAGCTTAGAAAAATACCAGTAGTGTTGTAGTATTGGTCTGAAACTTTAATTGTTTATTTGTACTAGTAATATGCTGTGTAAATATCTTTCTGATCTAATGATTTCCAACATTGTGTTGCAATTTTTCAAACATGAGTATATGGGTAAACATAAAGAAAATTTTAAGCTAGTGGTACTCAAACAGTTGCATGTGTATTGCTCAAGTTGCTAGATTATTCGAATATGGCAAAGCACACAAGAGCTAAGTGGAAGGATGCTTTCATGGAGGAATTTCTAAGAGAAACTTGTCTCATATCCACATTACACATGAAGAAAACCATGAAAATTAAATAGCAGACTCCTAGGGTAGAAGAGTCGAGCTCCCATTATTCAGTGGTCTTAAACACTTGGTCTCTGGTGGGGCCATATCTCTCAAGGATAATGTAATTTTTTTTAAAAAAAGCTTTTCTTCCGGAGAGTGGAATTTTTACTTTTCTCTTCAAGAAGAAAGATTTATGCCAGATCGCCCTCGAATTGATAAGAGTTTTTATTCAAAACCTGTGCCAATCTAAGATTGCTTTTCTTTATAAAATTTTAATATTGATGTCCAATCCAAGGTTACTTTTCTATATTATTTCAATATTGATTCTATCTTCAGTGCGTTAAAAGTTAGAAGATACTGTCAACTCTGGAGTAAGTGGGGTAGAAGTCTGTCTTTTTCTTGTTCCGTCTTTGGAAAACTGAGATTCACTGAACTGTCTAGATTTAATTGAAAACTAGGAAATTTTATTTCTAATGCACATTTTTCCAAGAAAAGAGAGAAATTATAATTTTCAAATGAAATTTTACGAAAACATCCGTAATAGATTTTTGGTTTCAAAGATTTAATGAATTTCCTCAAACTGCTGACTGTTCAGTCATCTTTATGAAGCATCTTTCAGCAGAAAAGGGAGAAAATTGTTCTCTTCCTGATGATCATAAAACAATAATATAGTATACTAGACCAAACTTGGTATGAAAGCTTCAAACAAATCGCAGAAAAAAAAGAAGAATGCTTTTCTGGACCATTTCACTCTTCTTTAAAGAGAGTGATTTTAAGATAAAATTAAAGAATTCTTGATACAGCTTTGCCGAATTCAAGATACTTACATTTAAAAAATGCGTTTTTAACTGATTAAAGACAAGCTATGTAATTAACCAAGAGGTTAAAATTTAAAAAAACTTTTTATTTGAGGAAATTTCATCTTAGAGGTACGTCAGACCTTTACTTGTGACTAAGAGGGCAGCATTTTTAAAAAGGTTGAGATCACTGCTTTAGTAAATATATTTTATTTATCCAACTCATTATAAAATGGTTATCAATAAAATTTCTGCAGCTGATGCTTATCTTTTGGCTAAGTAGGTAGACTGGTTTCTATCTTTTGAACTGACAGAGAACAATGTGAATGATGGTGTGTATCTATTAAGAAATAAATTAAAATGTTATCTTTACATGACTTTCACACAAGACCTAAATCATCTTCTTCATTTTGGTGTATGTGTAAAGATTTTCTCGTTTCAAATTCATGCTCTTGAGATCTACTTTTTGTTAGATTTTTAGTTTTCTCTTTTTTGTTCACTTTTCCATACAAAACTGATGGATTACCTATGCTGATGTGCTCTAGTTCTCTGTTTTGTTCATCTGTTCCAGAAGTAGACTGAATCATTGCCCTGTTCACATACCCATGCTGTTTTCCGTAATTGCTATTTAGAATGCTATTCTCTGTACTGTGGCATGGTGGTATTTCTTTATTTTCAGATGCATCTTTGGCTGCTCTATCTGTGGCACATTTAGCCTTATATTTTTTTAAACAAAATACCCAGATTAAAATGTTTATCAAAATGACAATTAAGATGACTGCACTGAGTGCTGCAGCAAGTATGTAAAAGCGGAAATCATCCATCGATAAATGAGATTTTAATGTACTTTCTGTTGGACTGTCTGTGGAGTTTTTGGTGTTGTTTTCAACAGTGTCGATACTTGTAGCATCTTCCAGTTTCCGTATAAAAACTTGGATTACGTTAGATAATTTAGCTTTATTACCAATATTATCTATACCTCTGACTGCTATATAGTATAAAACGGGTTCTGGTTTCTTTTCTAAAGTAAATTTTCTTTGTTCCTTCTCTCCTGCATCTTGTGGTTTAAGAGCTTCAGCGTCTCGCAATTTCTGTGGCAGTATTTTTGTAAGCATTGAATCTTGAAGATCTTTCCAATCTTCTGTGATGTATACATCATATCCTGCAGCTATTGGGGGAAAAAATGGAAAATTGTGTCTTATTTATTTGAAAAAACTAGATAAACACATACATTTTTTTTTAATATAAGTTGTTTATTGAAAAGACTTTACGCTAAGAATACCTTTTAACACTCTTTCATAAACATGAACTTTTTATTTTGGTATTAAATCTGTGGACAATGTATTGATACAGAAATACTGAGAATTTAATTGTATAAATAATTATTTTTGTTATTTTAGAAATGGTTATTAATCACCTTTATGATCAGTAGCAAAGATATTATGACTTCAACATTATAATCCTTTTCATAATTCTTATTGTATAACTTTCAGATATTTCTTTTCTGAATCTGTTTTGGTTATTATCATAAACATCACTACATGACATTTGTATTCAAGTATTGATTTTACTAATATGAAGTAAAAGTTAATAATTAAAGGGTACTTTCCCATTTCGCTGGCGCAAATCTCGCAAAGCAGACTTTATTGGCGACAACACACAGTATACACATAGAAAATGTTAGTTCTAAAATTTTTTTATTTTGAAGGCATAAACATTTTAATATCGGTTAAAAATTTTTGTAAAAAGACATTAATTTAAGAATATATTATGCTTTTATGGTACAATATCCTGATTCGCCGGTTCGTATTACGTCACCCCAAGTGATCTCATCTCACATGCTACAAAAATCTAATCCCTCTCAGTAATTATCTACATTAATTTCAAGTTAAATCTTAATATGGAATAGAAGTTTAAATGCAAGAATTATTCCAATTCGTACGAATGCTTAGAAATTATGTGAAACAGCAGTGCTTTACTTCTCTAGTGCATTCTCATTAGAATTGATGAATTTAACCCTTGACTTTACCTTTTCTATATTTTTGGGTGAGCGGTGTGATTGCATCCTAATTGACTTAATTACCGCGAATAGCCTTAGGGCATAAAATTGAACTATCTGGTAAAAATTCTATGCCAGTATTGAAAGAAACAATCAATCTTATAAGAAATGGATGCGACTTGTTTTGAAAATGAGGCATAAAAGGTTACCAGCGAAGATATTCCGTTTGGCATCGTTTGTACCACTTTTGGCGACTTTATCGCCTGTGCTGGCAAAATGGAAAAGTAAAAATTAAAGTAATGATAATGTATTTTTGCTTTTAGAATTCTGTTGTGCATTTTTCCTGAATTGAATAGAAACAAAGAAAGTGTAATTTCTTAATTTAATATGAAACAAATTATACAGAAATGGTCAAGCAAAAATATTTAATGGATAAATAAAAATTTTCAGCAATAAAAAAATCATGATTTGCTTTTTGAATAAAATTTAAAGCTAACATTTCAATTAAAAGCGAAGACATGATTCGTAATTCTGGTATAGTTCATGATTTTTCTTTTCTTTCATACCTCACCAAGAGGGTAAACTTCGGCATTAATCATGGTCAAAGGTTCTTGAGGTTGCGCTAAACTGGATTTCGGTTCAGTTTCTGAATCTCTGTGATTAGATTTTAATTTTGCTGCATATCGTGATAGTGAAGAAGTTGCATATGGAGGCATTGCAGCCACCAGTCTGAAACCCAACTCATCGTTTAATGTGTTGCTATTTTCTTTGTTCTGAAGGCTTTTAGATGTATGGTATGAATATCTGGTAGCTGAATTTGAGCTGTCATGAGGTCTGGAATAGACGTTTTGGTCATCTAACCTACTTACGGAAGCTCCAAAATCGTCATCACTCTGGAAACTTGATTGCGATTCTCGTTTGAAAACAACATTTAAATTATATGGATGTCTCATAGATGCTTTTTTGGACAACCTTTCTGGCTGTTTGGAATGTTTGTTTCTTATGCAGCAACAGCAAACAATTATATTAATGACGATAATAAGAAGTAAAAGGCTTCCACCTGCACCGGTGGTAACCGTAATTACAAAATTTTTGCTGAGACAGTTTTCGCATAATGATTGATCTGTCGTAACAGTAGAGTTATCATCATCATCTGTAAAATTGGCAGTTGTCCCAAGGCTCAATGCTGTTTCTGTTGAATTCACTGGAGTGGAAGTTTCATTACTGGTCGAAATTTCCACGACTTCTGGAGATTGCGTTATTGCTGTGGTAGAAGTTTCAACTTCGGTCACTTTTGTCTGTGAAGCTTTGAGGTAAATTTGAACAATGTTTGATACAGGCCCATTGTTATTGCTGTCATCTATAGCTCTGAGTGCTACATAATATGTCATATTTCGAGAATTTGTTGGGAAGTAAAATTTGAAGTTTTCTGGAGATCCACTAGTTGTAGGTATGACCGAGTTAGATGTTAAAACATTTCCTTCGCTCTTGAACGGGAGTTCCAGGAGCTCTGCCCAGTGTGTAGAATACTTAATTTCATATTTCGATGCTGTAAAGGTGAAATTATAATTTAGAAGAAAAATCTTTAAAAAATATATAAGTATTAATGCAATGGCTGTATGTTTCCCAGGTTAACCAGAAATAAAAACTTTAGTAGAAATTTATAAATGAAAATCCCTATATTTATTAACTATTAAGAAGCAATTCATTTCTTCAGATCGTCCAAAAATGTGCATGACTAACTTGTAACACTTAAAATTAGCTTTTGGAGCTAATTTGGTTTACATTGTTATACCAGCTCATTTAAAAACATCATTTTTTACAGGTCGATGTCTCCTTTTTTATGCATATTTAATCATGATATACGCCACCCACCATTTACGTGGTCAATAAAATCAGATGCCTATTACGTTCAAATTTCTAGTAATCAAAACAAATACATACTAACCAATAGAAAAATTGCCCCTTTTAAAACTCAGACTGGCAAAAGACTGATTCTTCAGAGCCAGAATATCCTGCTCGTACTTATTGAAGCTTTTCCTAGTTCATCCATTAACGCATTGTGTATTGTAGCTTTATCATTCAAAAATGTAATGATTTAATAAAACAACCTTTTCCTATCCCCGGTCTCTGAAACACTGCTTTCAGAATTCGTTTCTGGCACTGGACGTCAGACGGGCAAAATATTCTTATCATGAGGTTAACAAAAAGAATACTCTAGAGCAGCGGTCGTCAACTGGTGGTCTGTGAAAACTTTTTGCTGGTCCGCAGAAAAAAATTGGAACATTATTTGTATTATGAAGATTCAGTTTAAAAAATGACGAGTAACAAAACCTATTATGGGATATGGATTATACTTTTTTTTAAAATTTTAATGAAACTCCTTCTGAATTTAGTGAGTTTTTAGCTATTTTTGCAGGTGTATCTAGTGACATTTGAAAGTTAGAGTTGCATCAATGGATATGCTGCTGTTATCAATACAGTCAAAAGTCGTTAATTCGGACACCCATAATTCGGAATGATCTATAAACCGGGCCTCAAAGCTAAAAACTTTCTGCGCATGCTCCGCGTTGACACATGCGCATAGGCGTTTACGCGTGCGCGTAAGACCTCTTACGACTGCGCATTTTCGTGTGCGCAAGCGCAGAATACGTTTTCACGTGCGCGTTTTATGTATAACGGACGGTGTAAGCTAAAATTATCTAATTATCTATTTCAGTTAATGTTGATGATTGCATTGTACCTTAATTTTCGAATTGGATCCGGCTTATTATTTTTTGCAGACTGTAAGAGCAATACTAAAAAAGTAAACTTGAACTTTCGATTATGTCAAATAGAATTTTTGATTCTGGAGCTCCCAAAGGATCGTACAAAACGAAAGTATGTTTCGATGTCCATCAAACAAAAAGTGGAATTGCTGCAAAAAATGGATAAAGACATGAAGAATGTGACAGAGAGGTTAGTGAAAACGAAAAAATTTCGATTGACAAGTTAGTCGGTATTCTCGGCACAGCAATTAACGGACTTGAACAGCGGAACTTTGTAAGTGAACAAAAAATTATGTCTGTTTATAGAATTAAAGAGAAAGTATTATCACATAAAACGAAGCAACTTAAACAACTTAAACAACTTACATTGAAAGAAATGTTTAATAAAGTAAACAAATAAATATTAAGTTTTTTTTTTAAGTTTTTTTGTAATTTTTGATACCCTTTAATCATAATTGTTCTTTATTTTTATTTTTTATTTCATAAATTACGTTTTCATATTTTTAATTTTAGAATTTCTGCATGCCATCTTACGCGATTTAAACTGATGATCTATAATCCGGAATCGCCGAAGTCCCGACGAGTCCGGATTAACGACTTTTGACTGTAATAGCGCAAACTGAAATTCTCTTTCCTTTTGTCCACCAGCGACTGAGCAATAAAGATGCTGAACACTGGTAGTTCGGTCCGAAGTTCGAATCCAGCGAATGGGCTGGCTGCATGGGCGTTTTCATAGTTTTCCCCATGTGTAACATGTATATGAGCCAGTTTCCCTTAGAAAGTCCTCCACAAAGGCATTCCTCCGTTTAGGCAGATAGCCCTCATGTGCGTTGCCATAATTGAATAATCCAATCCAATCATTTTGAATTACAAACATATGCTAGTGTAGTCGTTGGTTTCTTCTCCTTGTCAATAGGCAACTTAATGGATTTTTATGAGAACCATCTGCATTCTTGTTTATAATTACATCACTGGAAGTTCCGTTTTTGTTTTGTCTAACTGTTGATCCAAGGCGCCATTGCTGAATAAGCGATGATTATTATATTTACAATAATTAAAAACTGGTGGCATAACACTTTTGCGTTTACGGGTTTGTTCTTGCTTTTCGTGAAGTTCCTTTTCAGTGATATGGAAATGTAAAGCTTTTTGTACTTTCATATAATTTTCAACATGAACAAAATATGTGTATCAGTGAGATGTTAATAGTGTTTTAATTGTTACTCATAATCAGGAGCATAGCCTGAATTTCCATAAAGGCATGCTGCTGAGCACCAAATGTTTCGAAAATTATATCAACAAATGAAAGTTGGAATTACATGTGTTGGAAAATTGAATATTGTTTTTACATATTAATATGTTGTTTTTGAGGTCTAATTTAAGGGGTTTTTTTAATTCATATTA